CTTCAAATTACCCTCTATCAGTCCCAATCAATGATTAAGTTGAAAGGAATAAACTACCCAAAAATTAGATCAATCGGACAAGAAACGAAGCGGGAGTCTTAATTTGAAATTGGCTGCTAAGGCTTGTGCGAAAATCTGCACTTTCTCACTTTTATCTTTATATGGATGCACTCTTTCTCTTGTGATTTTTCTTAAATAAGACTTAAAAGAAAGTCTTACGTATGCACTATAATAGTGGGGTTATGGACTAAAGTGATTTATCCACAAATGAAAGAAAGAACGAGTCAAAATCTTAGACTTTTATTTATCCATATAGAAAGTCAAAAAGACCCACAACCCAATAGAGGAAAGACTGGAATCACATTTTTATTTCATTAATTCTCATAGCATGGAAATAGAGCTGTCAAAATGGGTTTGACCGCGAGATGGCCCAACCCAACCCTTGAATTAAGTGGGGTTGGACCTAACTTTTTTGACCTATTTAGGAACGAGACTTTTTAGCCGGCTTCACTTGGCCCGCTAGCCTCGTAGGTTTGACCAGTTAGCCTCAAAGGAAGTATGTTAAAAACATAAAAATCAAGACTTTTATACTAGCTTATTTTTTATGAGAGGAATGGTTGAATGATCAACATCGCTAAACATTACGTTAACTATTATGTATTTTGGTAATCATTTATCGAAGTGTGAGATTCATAAATGTATTTCTATAAGTATTCGCTGAAGTATATGATTCATAAATGAAAATTTGTATGTCTTGATGTCCTGTTCGTAGATGTCAACATTCGATTCTCTTAGATACTCCTTTTAAGAGAATAATATTGTTCATTTTTTTTTGCTGAAGGGCCAACCCGTCCCAATCCGTGGACCGCTTAGGTTGGATTGAGCCGCTATTTTATTGACCCGTTAACTAAAGGGTCAGCTCGGCCCAATCTATTTAACTCTCTAACCCGTTGAAGTTGGGTTGGGTCAATCCATTTTGACAACTCTACGTGGAAAATCTTGTATTCATGTTTTTTTTAACATATGGTAAGTAGTAATCCATCCCTTTAAACTCAATTATTGCCTTAAATATTCTTTTGCCTTGTACCTTCTCCCTTTTCATGAAATATGAGTATTAATTTGTTATTTCTTTAAAATGTGATTTTTGTAACTGATTTTGAACTTCTTATATATAATAGTTATTAGATGAGTTGAGACTATATCTAATTCAACCATTAGAAAAGAAATATAACGATATTTGATTAAATATTTTGCTAAATGTATCGTCATTATCAATTCAATAAATTCTATATTTTTATAGCTATATTGATCGAAGTGTCTTGTTAATATGATTGGATAAAATTGATAGATCATGATGAATGAATCATATTAAATTATACTCTCCTCTCTCTATTTATTTGTTTAAATTTTTCTTTTTATTTGTTCCTTTTTATTTGTCTATTTTGAAAAATTAAGAAAGAATAATTTTTTTTACCTATTATACCTTCAATTAATTAATTTTAAAAAATAGAACTTTTTAAAAAACTTAATTTTAAATTCTATTTCATAATTAATAGGGATAAAATGATAAACTTACTGTGTCAATATTTATTTTGTTAATATGTGTGTTGATTTTTAAAATGAACAATTAATTAGGGAGTGAGAGAGAAAGTAATTGATAAACAAATCAAAAGATCAAAATGAATTTTTTCCCCAAGAAAAGCTACGACCTTACAAATTCATCCAAAAGGAGCTGCTACCACTGATGACAAACAATCTGGATAATTTGATACAATTTAATGAAAAAAATATATATTAGGCTATGAATTTTGCTTTCCTAAACGATGAGGGATTGTTTCGTAGAGTGTGTATTATAAAAAATAATGTTTACATTAGTAGTATTTTATTTTGTACATTTTTCTTAAATATTATGCATAAAAATGCAAGCATTAGTTACACATTCTATTGTGAATTTAAAGAGTGTATTACTCATATCATGAATTTTTATATATGCATTAGCATGGTTAACAATTCAATTACCTCTCAAAAGCACTTTTACATCGTTTCCATCAAAATTATGGAAGATGCTTTTGTAAATAAATATTTTTAAACAATATATTCCTTTTCTTATTATACCTAACCAAATAATGCATAAAAAATATATTATGTATAATTAATATATAAATATTATTAATAAAAATATTACTAATACACTCTATTTAACATAAAAAATTCTACCAAACGATTCTTAAGTGGCTAGCTACCATCGGTATGGAAGACAAAGATAGTTTAGAATGGAAAGCTTAGAATAAATGAACAATTTCCTAGAGAGAATCTGAAAATATTATTCAACTGAATTGAATACAATATACAAGGATGAAGTATATTTATACACAACTAACCAACCAACCAACATGGTGTAATTATCTACTGTGCTAAGGTCTACTGTAGTAACTAATTTATAACATAAAAATTGGAATTAATCAACTAACTCATTATAGCTAACTCGTTACTATTACTAGCTAGCTCTCCAATACTCCCCCTCAAGCTAGATGTATTAAACACATTCAAGACACCAAGCTTGGCAAGCAAAAAATCATGTTGTGACCTTCCCAAAGCCTTTGTCAGCAAGTCAGCTTGTTGATCTTTAGTATTGACACACATTATTCTAATTAAGCCTTGTTGTATTCTTTCTCGAATAAAATAACAGCCAATCTCCATGTGTTTTGTACGTTCATGAAATACATGATTTGCAGGTATTTGTATAGTAGCTTTGCTATCACAATGAATGTTGACAGGACCATTCACTTTGAACCCCAGTTCCTTGAACAAATTAGTTACCCAAACTACCTCAGCAGTCAGTGTGGCCAAACTTTTATACTCTGCCTCTTCAGAGCTTCTGGAAACAGTGTTTTGCTTCTTGGATTTCTAGGAAATTAGTGACTTCCATACTTCAACAAGTAACCAGTAACAGATCTTCTAGTACTAGGACAAGCAGCCCAATCTGCATCACAAAATCCAGTAAGTTGTGAGTGTTTTTCAGAACTCATAAGCAATCCTAACCCTGACTCAGCCTTGATGTATCGAACCAACCTCAAGGCTGCATTCCAGTGAGACACTTTGGGTTTCTGCATAAACTGACTTAATCATTGAACTGAGAAGGAGACATCAGGTCTAGTGTTGGTAAGATACAGCAGCTTCCTAATCATTCTTTGGAATCTGCCAATGTCTACAAATAATTCATCATCAGTGGTCTCAAACTCTGCACTTGTAAATTTTATATTACACTCTAACGGTGTTGAAGAAGGTTTAGCTCCAGCTAGGCCTGCATCACTAATTAACTCTAATGCACATTTCCTCTGATTCATAATAATTCCCTTGGCTGATCTGCAAAACTCTATGCCTAGGAAACACTTCAGCTCACCCAAGTTTTTAATCTTGAAATGTTGATGTAAAACTTGTTTAGTCTCCTATATCAGTTTATAACCATTCCCTGTGATCAATTTATCATCCACATAAACTAACACAATAGCAAGTCCTGATTCTCTTCTTTTAGTGGATAGAGAATGATCCAGTGGACTATGTAAGTAGCCTGAGTTGGTTAGTGCATCAATAAGCTTGTCATTCCATTTTCTGGAAGCCTGCTTAAGTCCATATAGGGACTTAATAAGTCTGCAAACTTGATGATCCCACTGTCTAGTAAAACCTTTGGGCAACTCGATGTACACTTCTTCAACGAAGTCTCCTTGCAAGAAAGCATTAAAAACATCCATCTAATATACTATCCAATTTTCAGCTGCTGCAATAGCTATAATAGATCGTACAATTACCATTTTGACTATAGGAGAGAAAGTCTCCTGATAGTCAATACCTTTAGTTTGGCTATAGCCTTTAGCCACAAGCCTAGCCTTGAATCTATCAACTTGTCTATTTTGTTTGTACTTGATCTTGAATACCCACCTACAACCTATATCCCTTTTACCTTGTGGTAGCTGCATGATAGTCCAAGTCCCATTATCCTCCAATGCAACAATTTTTGTTGCATGGTCTTCACCCATTTGGAATCTTTAACAGCCTCTTCATAGTTTCTAGGTTCTGTATCAGCAGATAAATCACTTAAGTAAGCTTGATATGTGGGAGACAACTTATCATAAGTCATGTACTTGGCCAGGGAATAAGAATGTTTAGAATCAGTCATATGAGCAACATAATCCTTCATCCAAACAGGTGGATGAGACATCCTGGTAGAGGTTCTGTGTGCGGTAATAGTTTGAATATTTTGTTCATCATAGTCCATATTTGAAACATCAACACTTATGTTCTCTGTATCCACTAAAGGAACATGTTCAAAATTTTGTTGTTGCTCCGCAGAAACTGCATCATTGTCAGAAATAAGAGAATTATGAAGCTCAGGTGTATCTTCATCATCACCCAGTCTGTCTTGTCTGCAAAAAATTGGTACAGGCATGTCCTGCATATTACCAAAAGGAAATATATGTTCCTTGAAAGTCATATCCCTGCTCACCTCAAACTTTTTGAGACTCAAATTGTACAACACATACCCTTTCTGAGTAGGTGAATATCCCATCATCACACAAGCATCAGCTCTAGGGGCAAACTTATCATCCTTGATCAGTGTAGTGGCATAACACAAACATCATAGTGTTCTCAAATGGTCAAGCTTGGTCTGGTCTTGTTAAAAACTTGATAAGGCGACTGACCTTTTAAAACATCAGTAGGCATTCTGTTAATCAAGTACACAACAGTTATAACACATTTCCCCCAAAATCATACAGGAATGGACCCTTGAAACCTGAGTTTCTTGCAACCTCTAGTATATGTCTATGCTTTCTTTTAACTACTCTATTTTGTTGTGGAGTGTGTTGGCAACTACTTTCATGAATAACCCCGAAGGATGAAAACAATGTGTTGCAGTCTTTGTTAAAAAACTCAGTTCCATTGTTAAACCTTATTTCTTCACTTGTCTTTTAAATTGAGTAGCAACTAGTGCCAGAAAATACTTCATCACAACAAAAACATCACTCTTGAATTTCAGTAAAAATAGCCAAGTCATCCTTGACTTATCATCTACAATTTTCAAAAAGAATCTAAAATCATCATGTGTAACAATTCTATATGGTCCAGATGAATAAGACCAAACACATCACTTGACTTTGACACAACAAATGGAAAGAAAGTCTAGACTTTTGCCTAAGGACATACTGAACAACTACCACATTCTGTTACATCAAAATCTTTATTTACTAATGTTAATCGCTTCAACACCTTGATAGAAGGATGACCCATCCTGTTGTGGCAAAGCATGCAATCTGTGCCTCTTGTCTTTGTCATCAGTACCTTATTATCCCCACTAGCTGACTGTCCAGAAGAAAATGCACTTGGAAGATAATACAAACCTCCTATCTCCTTACCAGTCCCCTTCACCTCTCTATTAGAGAGGTCCTGAAAAATGCAGAATTCAGGATTGGAACACACTGAACATTGCAACTGTCTAGTCAACTGAGACACTAATAGTAGATCATATTTGAATTCAAACACCACTAAAACATTGTCTAGTTCTCCATAGCGTCCTGAATGTGTTACTAGAGTAGTTTGACCATTAGGTAAGTGAACTCTCCTGCCTACATTTTTATTAAGATCATTTACATTGTTTAAATTTTCAAGTGTTAAACTCATATGACATGTTGCCCATGAATCAATTATCCAGTTATGCATTCTTTTAAAAACATCATTCCTAGCATTTATGACAGCCACACAATCTTCATTCTTAGCAGATAAAGAGCATAGTTCCATAGAAATGAAGTTACCTGTCATGTTCACCATTTCGTCAGTTTTGTCCTCTTCATTGAGCAATTTCATTATCTTTTGGTATTGGTTAGGATTGTAGTCAGATCGTGCAGCAAAAGCCCGCAAGTTAGCACGAACAGAATTGAAATCATAAGCATTTCCTTGTGCACCTGGTTGTCTTGCATTGACTGCCCCAAATGCATCATCTCTTGATTCTTCAGAAATCTTATCCAATTGCGCATTATTAACAACTATTTTCCTTTGCTCAAATTCCTTCCTCTAAACTGGTTATTGTTCCCTTGCTCTCCACCCTGTCCTGACACTTTCTTCTTCAACTTCCGATCATCAGGATATCAAATTATTCGAAAACAATTTTTCTCTGTGTGGCTATACATTTCGCAGTGATCACAGAATAGATTCCAGCCACATTCGCAGTGATCACAAAATAGATTCCAGTTCACTTTCTTAATTCCTACTCCAGTTTTGTCTGTATCATTGCTTCTAGGATTATACTCAACTCTTGTGTTTCTAGAATAATTTCCCCTTCCTACATATAATGTCGTGGCTTCTATTATATCTCCACCAGTGCGCATCCCTAAATTAACTCTCTGGCTCTTGTCTGATATGATCATAACATAGGCTTTGCCAACACTTGGAAAAGGACTCATCATTAGTATTTGGCTTCGTACATGTCCATACATGTCGTTCAGCCCTATCAGAAAAGAGGATAAACGCAAGTATTGAATATGATCCACATAAGATCTAGATCTATCACAATTCCATGATGGTGGTGGTACGATAACATCAAATTCATCCCACATCAATCTCAATTTGGTAAAATAAGCTGAAACTAATGAATTACCTTGATAGATTGTACAAATATCTCGATGAAACTGGTAGATACTCGATCCATCAACCTTATCAAATCTTTCTTGCAAATCTGCCCACACCATTGAAGCATCTAAAGCATAAACAATACCACTCAACAATTCCTTTGAAACTGTGTTCATGATCCATGCTAAAACAAAGGTATTACATTTCTCCCATTGTTCTTGTAGATCTGGTCCGTAACTATTTCTTTCACATATGCCAATCACAAAACCTAGCTTACTTTTTGCCCTGAGATTGATCATCATGAATCTACTCCATAGCGAATAGTTTTCTGCTCTGGTGAGCTAAACAGTCGTTAAAACACTACCATGTGTATGTGATGGCTGAAGATACAAGGGATGGTTTCCTTGCTTCAATTGTTTCTTATACTGCAGTTGAAACTGTTGGTACATCATTCGTCTCCATTGTTATCAGTGACACCAGAATTGATTTATTAGTGTAGAATCAAACATTATTTATTCAATTGCTTTAATACCATGAATAATTTCTTAGAGAGAATCTGAAAATATTATTCAACTGAATTGAATATAATATGCAGGGATGAAGTATATTTATACACAGCTAACCAATCAACATGGTGTAATTATCTACTGTACGAAGGTCTACTGTAGTAACTAACGTATAACAGAAAAAATGGAATTAATAAACTAACTCATTATATCTAACTCGTTTTATCACTAGCTAACTCTCAATGATAAAACCTTATAGCAAACCAAAGAAGTCATTTGTATATAAATGTGAATAAAATTATATTTTTATTTCTTGCAAGAAACTTCAGGAATCAGTAATCCGCAATAGGTATAGGTATGAAATAACCAACATACTCAACACTAATAAATGACACGAAAACTTTGACGTGCAAGAGAAGAGTAGAATATCAGAAATTTTATAGTTAGAAAAATGAGAGAAACCTAGCTTTATAGCCAATTACAAAAGATAGTATGAACATATATTTTTATACTTTATCGGGGAAAAGTTAAAACTCTTCGTAAGAGTCATAAACCCATAGAATATCAGAAAATTCACAACCCATTGCATGTAAAAATGTGTTATTCAAATTGCATTTTTTCTCTTGATTTTTTGTTTGAAAAAAACAAATCTTTTTCCATTCACACCTATTAAAAACTAATAAAAATAATAAATTAAGGTTAAAATGAAAGAAGAAAAACTTATTTATTTATAAAGGATAAATAAGATAAGTAAAATTCCTTCTTATAAAAAAAAAGAAAGCACAATCCAATGACTCATTGAGAGTTGCTCCCAAACATCAAATGATCTTTGAAATTGTAATAATATTAAAAAATGTGGCATTTGATTTAATTCTTAGTTGTGAAATATGCTCCTCTCTGTAACTACAGTTGTAGTGCTTAGATTCTTAGAAGGATTTCCCAAAACGATTAATTATTCAATCACAAAAGGATAACTAATGATGAGTTGAACCTATTATATATACACTTATCTTTGAGCTTAGATTCTTTAAAGGATTTTGAGACAACTCTGATTAAGCTCATCAACACTACAATTGAGACCAGTACTACTTACATAACGAAATATGTGAAAGCTGAAATAGTCTATATAGTTATGAGTATGAACACTGCCACAGTTGAAGCTCTTACCCAAGGACTATTAAAATAATTATGCATCAACTTTGTCTGGATAAAACGATAATTTCATGAAATTCTTAAAAAAATGACTATTCGGATCATTACCAAATGTTGAAATATAATGCCTTAAATTAGGGGTGTGCATGATCGGGTTGATTTGGTTACGTTTTTTGAATATCAAACCCGTGTAAAATTTTTAAATTTATGAACCAAACCAACTAATTAAATTTGAATTTTTCGGGTTTTTCAACCTCGGGTTGGTTCGGATTTTTCAAATGCCAAATTAAACCATTATATCATTTTTTTTTAATTTCTAAAACAAACCAAACTAATAAACTTTGGATTTTCCAGATTTTTGGATTTTTCGATAAAGTTTGCATACAAACATATAATTAACTTTGTGCTCTAAATATTTCTTTAGTCCAACCAAAATACAATTATCTAAGGTGTTTCTTTAAAAAGAATAACACAAAATATGATATGAGTATTGATGACACAAAAAATATTCAATAAAAAATAATAATGAAATCATCATATAAAATAAATATTGCAAAGTTATAATGAAAATAATCGTAATTTAGAAATACTAAATCATGCTAAAATAAGTTTGATAAGTATTAGATACATTACTACATATTTAAGAAAAATTAAAATTAAATTATGTATTTTAATTGTCTAAACTAATGTAAAATTAAAGAAGAAATACTCAATATTATTGTTATTCTTAGTGTTGAATTGATTTTCTTTTTGGATTAGTATTAATTTGATTTGATTTAAGTTTTATTATAATTTTCAATATCTATGAACTATAATCTTTATTGGACCAATCCGAATTCTAAATTTTAAACTTGAAATAATAAATTAAAAGATAAAAACAATGAAATAGTATAAGAATATTTTAAAATGATATCAAAGTAAATATTTTATGTATGTAATAAAATTTTAAAATTACATATATAATGTCGGGTTATTTTGATCTCAGATTGATTTTTTTAATTAAAACCAAATCAATCCAAATATAGTCGAATTTTTTTTACAATATCAAAACAAGTCAAACCAAACCATTCGCGTGTTCTTTTTTGGTTTGATCAAACCAAACCATTAAACATGTTCTTTTCCTATTTGATCTAACGATTTGACTCAATTTTCGAATCGATTTTGTACAATCATACCTTGAAGTCTACCTATGAATACACAATTGTAACTAGAAGCACCAACTTTTTAGAAATTATTAGTATGTCATCATTTAGCAACTTATGATCCATTTTTTATGATAAAAAAGAGGCTTAAATTATACAGAGTTGGTTCATTTATTTCACTTGAACACTTCAACTAAGCCTTATACCTATTAAACACCTCTAGTACTTAGAATTATACCAATTAAACATTTTTTACTTAGATGACATTTTGGGTGTGATTCATGAATGATAAGCGCGTGAAAAAAATTAAATCGGACATTTTTTAAACTTAAAAATCTCTTTCTTCTTCATTGGACTTGCTTGTTGACATCACTTCTCCACCTTACCACTCACATTCGCCATTGTTGACATAAACACCCTTCTTTCTTCCTCATTTTTTTCTCAGCTTTAACCATCATTATCATTTTATTTTTTCAGATTTGTTGTTGTTGCTGTTGTTGTTGTTGTTGTTATTGTTGTTGTTGTTGTTTTGATTTTGGTTGTGATTGTGGTTATGATTGTGTCGTCATCGTCGTGATTTTTGTTGTTGTCGTTGTGGTTGTTGTCGTTGTTGTTGTTGTTGTCGTTGTTGTGGTTGTTGTTTTTGTCGTGGTTGTTATTGTTGTGGTTGTTGTTATTGTTGTTGTGTCGTCGTCGTCGTCGTTGTTGTTGTGATGGTGGTGGTGTTGGTTGTTGGTTTGGTTGTTGTTGTGGTTGTTGTTATGGTTGTGGTTGTGTGGTGATTGTTGTTGTTGTTGTCGTCGTTGTTATTGTTGTTGTTGTTGGTATGTTGTTGTTATTATTATTATTATTATTATTATTATTTCTACAATCACTTCACCTCCTCAATCACCATCGAATTCATATTTGCCATTGTTGATTTAGAAGATTAGAAAAAGAAAAAGGAGAATAGTGTTCTGATCGATAGAACTTGGGTGGTTGGTAACAATGATAACTATTAAAAAAAATTAATTTTTTAATTTAAAATTTTGCCATTGTTAATCTATGGTAAAGAAGAACAAAAAACAAAAAAGAGAAAGAGACGGTGGGGTTTGGTCATGGGTAGCCGGGAAAAAGTTTGTTCAGGTGGGGAATTGTGCAGGGATTAAAAAATTTAATTTATTTCTTATTTTTAAAAATATTTTTCATATATTACTTCATTCATATTAAGTTATATTTTTAAATAATTTTTTTTGGATTCATCAGATACATGTCATAATTTAATTTGTCATAGTGCCATGTCATAGCGAGTATATCTCACACACTGATTATTTTTGGTTGATTGTTCAAAAAGTGTCTAATAGTTATCAATTCAAAGTACTAGAGATGTTCATTAGGTACAACACTTAGTTAAGATATTCAAGTGAAATATGCGAATAACTTTAAGAAATTGTGTATGACTTAAGCATTTAATTAAAATCTTAATGTTCAATTACGCAGAAAAAAGGAAAGAGAAAACCGTTTGTGTCTTTTAAAAAAAAAACGTAGCATACAAATGATTTTTTTAAAAAATTTTTTTATGAAGACAAAAGTTAATGATTGTTCATTTTCCTAAACATCTTTCTCATAATTAATGTTTTTTCTTTAGTAAGAATAGCATATTTCTGAAAACTATATATATAAAATAAAGAATATAATGTGAGATTTAGTAGTATTATTTGATAATTATTTTTTATTTACTGTTATAAGTATATTTCTATTATAATGAATGTCTAATTATGTGAAATTCTTTTAGAATATGGTTAGAAATTCTATTTGGGACCAAGTTAAGTTCTCCTATAAATAAAAGGGTTTTATTTCATTGTAGATCGTCAACAAAAATAATAAATTTTTTCTTCTCTCTACTTTCTTCTTCTTATTCTATAATTTCATAACATGTTATCAGCACGAGTCTCTAACTAATTGAATCTTCGACAGTCTATATGTATGAGAAGAGATCATAAAGCTGTGTACCCCATCAATCTGTAATTTTATTATGAGAAGTTATTTTGTTATTAATATGACTAAAGTGAGAAAAAAATAATGATTATTCTATACACGAAAGGGAATCAACCCTTCTTATATTTATAAGTATGTTTACCATTCGATGTGTGGCTTACTTCTTATATAATTCATGACCATGTAATAGACTTATGGTTTATTATTTACTAATTATATGGTAAAGTGTTGAACAATCAATATTAGGATCGTTAGTCCAATTAAAAGTGTAATACTACTAATTAGATATTTTTCAATTGAGTGTTATGCTGTGTTATTTTGATTTCTTATCCCTACTAATATCTCTATTTTTCATGTTTTATTGAAATTTATTTCAATTGTGCATATAATTATAAGATTTAAAGGTTTGAGGGTAAGTTTTGATGCACCAAAAATATAAGATATTGGATTTAAGTTCCATCACATCAAAAGAATAAAACAATGGATTAATATTCAATTATATTAAAAGGATAAGACGGTGAATTCATGTCCAATCACCAAAAGGGTAAAATATCAGGAGTCTGTGATATATTAAAGATGTTGAGTCCAAATCTCATGATTTATGACCTAAAATCTCTTTATATGGATAAGACGTTGATTTTGAGTCTCAATGCACTATATTGATAATATAATGATGACTAAGACAAAATAATGATTTTTTGATAAGAAAAATAGTCATGAAATATATCTTGGCTAAGCAGATCTATTTCCTAAAGTGAATGTAACAGTCGTACACATTATGTCT